AAAAAAAGTCATAACAAAATAACCGACTATAGAGTAGATTGGTGCGTAAATACACGGTGGAGGGTAGATGTTTTTCAGCTAGGCTAAGTTCAGGTTGGTGAATTCCACAAACATTCATCATTTATCATTCGACTTCGACACCATTACTACGTTCGCAATCCTTTTGGGTTGTTGTACTTCTCGAATGTAGCCAATGTCCATGTCGAACTACTTCTGTTGAGGTTATCTACACTATGTGCATCTTCCGCTTCGTTGCCCAAGCTCTAGGGTTGACGTTTAATCTGTGGCTTGTTACGTCAATATCTACCTCTAACTTTTCTTCAATTTAGGTCATTTATGAGCCTTAAGTTGAACATTGCACTCAGTTTGGAAACTTTACGTGATTTTCCTTGACGAAGACAACTTGCTCAACTGCTCGTTGGTTCTTAAATTAATTTCTCATTGTGTATTGAGTTTCAGGATCTCCCTTTGCATGCTCCTCACCATGCACTGATAGTGTGGGGCTCATCCAAGTCTCCCATAGTAGTAATTATTTATTTAATCATCTGTGAATTTTATGGTGATGTGATGCACGAAGAGAACTGCCTTGATGGTATCGAGCAACCGATGACCAAAAATGGTGTTTTATGTTATTGTGGAGTTGACCATAAGTGTGAATTGTGTCTTTCTTGCCCCATGTGGGCAAGGCTAGGATCTTTAGTTCCTCCTAGCAAGAGAATCCATATAATGGTCTTGAGGTAGATGATAATTGTGAAGTACAAAATTTTTTTTTGTCAAACACAGATTTAAATAAAATTTTGATAGAACTCTCTATATCAATAAAGATACTATCAATTTGTGCTAATTGGGGGTTAATGTGGTGATCACTAATGTGTTGCTGTAGTGGTTCTCATTGGCTGACAAATCTTCAATGAAAATGATGGGTGTTAATAGACTACTCTTTGTCGAGATGAGATCTCTAGGTACATCTCTCCTGAAGAGAGTCTTGTGAGACTTGTTTGCGGATACCTTTACTCTATCCCCACCAAGTATGACTCATAAAATCTCTGTTATATGAATTGTCTGGGCCTGAGCTAGCTCGTTGCGAGTTTCTTTGATTGGTGCTTTCAACTTTGGGTCACTATTCTCGACGCCACGAACTCTTTTTGTTCCTAACCTTGATCAACTCCTTGATCAAACTTCATAGATGGCGACACTCTTCAGTTTCATGATTGTGGTCATGTTGATAGACACAGTACCTTTGTGGGTCGCATAAATGTCGTCTTGCTTTTATTGGCATGGGTTTACGAAAGTGCTCTTTGTGTTGAATGACCTCCACCATCTCGGTCAAGGAGACTTGCAGAGGAGTCTATTGTACAATTGATGAGTTGGTGGTGATGACCTCCCAAGATGAAGATTAATCCACCTTTTTTAAAACTGAACTCGTCTCCATTGAATGAATAAATCTCTCTTGAGCATGTGTCTTTTTTTTGTAAGGATGTGGCCAATGATACTCAAAATGTAGTCTCATGACTGGTTACGTAGAGCAAGATACTCTTCCGTTAATTTGGTAGAAGCTTTTTTTCTACGGATGTTTCTGTGTGCTCTGCTTATGTAGTAGTAGGAAATGAGTTATGTTCTTCAGCTGAGATGTGATTATTGGCGAGTTCCAATAGCTCAACTAAGGTGTGTGGATGTTGCATACTAAGAGCATAGCAAAAAGGTCCCACCCTTAGCCCTTGGGCTAATGCGGTGTGGGCAATCCCTAGCTCTAAATCTCGCACCTCCAATATTTTCCTCTGGAAGCGGGTCATGAAAGATTGCAGGTTTTCTTCTAGCTCGTGGCGAATTCACAGTAGTGCTTGCGAACTCTTCTAGGGTTTTGAGCATTATCCAATTGTGCTAAAAACTTGTGTTTGAAGTTTGCATAGAGGGTTATCACTCATAACGACAAACTATTGAATCACCTTAGTCTTGAATCTTTCGGAGTCATAATGAATAAGAAACACTTCAGGGTATCATTTACTCTTTATAATCAAACAAAAAATTCAAAAAAAGCGATGTGATATGATGGTTTTGATTGCCCTTGATAAGACTCCAAGGAAGGATCTTGAAGAACTCGAGCTCTTCAGCCTTAGTAAACTCCCTAGAAAAGCATTCTCCAATTGATTAGATTGAGGTGCTTTGACCTTCTCTTATAGTTAGACAGGGCTGAGCTCACGTTGTCTGAATAGTATGAATTGTCCTCCTTCATTAGAGTGGGTAAAGGAGTTCCTCTAACATTGTCGTCGAATTCCTTTCTTCGTTGCATTGAGCTACTGGTTCAGGTGGTATAGTGCTCGATGTTCTATTGCTTGAACCAAGGTTTCATTGGTCATGTTCGTCATTTTTTCTTTCAACTCATTAATTTGTTGGGTGATGAATTTCCTAGTATAGTCCATGTTGTTGGTGACTTCTCTGTGGCTTAGTTCTACTCTGTGTAGTTTTACTTGTCTGTGATATGATCCACGCTTTCCACACTTTTAAAAATGTTGAGTCGCAATCAAGCCAAGGAAGCAATTCTAGAATCATGGGAAGCAAATGATAGAATCGCTGGGATGCAATTCTAGAATCATGGGAAGCAAATGATAGAATCCCAACCAACAACTAGATCAAGTTTCGCGATACAGTCGTGAATAGATGAGGGCTTGACGAAGGAAGCAATTGCAATTCATAGGAGCAAACAATTGGATTGCGACCATACAGGACATACAATCGCAATGCATGCGATCTGGTAAGCCCATGACGAGATTTCAGAAAATAGAAGTCTACCTTAGTGATTGAAAACCATCCAAGGGTTAATGTTAGCCAAAAAATAGACGGTTTGGAGGAGAAATTAGAGTGAGAAGCGAGACAAATCATATTGGAAATGAAGGAGCGTTTCTCATCCATTATAGGATGACTCTTGTTTATGAAGGGGAGGATGGAGAGTAAATTCACTGCCCTTGAAGGAATGATGAAGAACGTGGAATTTCACACAAAATTACTTGTCGCAAAATCGACGGACAATGTCGGGTACATATGTGAGTGACAACGCTTGGAAGAAATGATGTGACATTCAAAAGGCTTAAACAAATAGAAGCAAACAAAATCAAGCAAAGGAGTCGGGAGCATATTTAAGTGGCAACATTTGAAGTGAATTTCATGGCATCTAGAGATTTGGAACGGGCAACAACAGGTAGTACAGGATGTCGTGCGATTAGGGGCTGGAGAAGAATGATTTGAAGGATTTTGGCCTGGAATAAGAAACGACGGTGGGTAAGACACTGTTAAAGGGTTGCATGTAACAACACTAGTCCCTTTTTCTGCGACAGCCTTCTTGGTGGAAGATGATTTAAGAGTAATTATAGGAACGAGATAGGTGTAGAAGAGTAGAGGAGTTTATAAAGGATTGGTTTGGAAATTGCAGAATATTCAAGAGGGAGACAAGATAGGGGTACTTCGTAGTATCCTTACTATGTGCAAAACCTTGGTGTCAGCGGATCTGTCAAAGGTGACAACTATAATGGAGTGACCATTACCTAAGACCTTGAAAGCGATTGAGAGGATTTCTAGGACTTAAAGGATATTATTGGGAATTCATGAAGGTTTGTAATTTGATTGTGTGATCATTAATGAAGAAACTGAAAAATGATAACTTTTAGTGGGAGAATGTGGAGACCTAGACATTTGATAAGTTAAAAAAAGCCCCGACAAGTGCACTTGTCCGGGCATTATCTGATTTCATCTAACCTTCATTTTTAGAGACGAATGCTTTAGGATTTGGATTAGGTGCAGCTCTCATGCAGTGTCAACGATCCATCACTTATTCGATAAAGTGTTGATGACAAGAGCCAAACTCAAGTTAGTTTACGAGTTGGAGCCATAAGATTTGATCCAACAACTGTTTTATTTTTTTCCCACTTTAAGGACAATGTCCTTTGGGAGGGGAGTAATATGACACCGGCGCCCAATGCCGATTTAGTCTTATATTAGTTATTATTGTGGGGTATAAATAATACTAATATGTTTATGGTTAGGGTTATGATGAGATTGTTGTCTTGAGTCTTACAGTTAGGGTTTGGGAGAGATTGTTTTCCTATCGAGTTGTAGGTGCTAGGGTTAGGGTTTAGGAGAGATCGCCTACCTCTCTAATTGTAGGTGTTTATCTTTTATGCATTTTAGTTGTGTTGTTTGGAGTTCTTGAAATAAAATATTTTGTTTGCCCTAATTTCTGTTGAAAATTTTTCTGGTTCGTAGCACAATATCTCGTGTCATCTGCACACTTCGTCTTATCACATCTTTCGACTTATTCGGCCTATTGGTTTAGATTTTGCTCTAAAGGCTGTTCACCTCCGGAGTGGATAAGTTTATGTTATGTTGGATGAGGAAGGATTGCAGGGCAACCTTTGGCGAGATCTCGAGATCATAGGATTGATTACACTCCCTTTTTTCTTTGCAAGAAGAATAACCGTCAATTGGTCAACTTAGATTCAGCCACTCGTACTTAACTACTTGTCTTTGATCGCTTGTAGTCGGTTGTTCGTCTACCCAGGTCTTTGATGGATTGGGCCGAAAGACCCATTTAACTTGTATGAACCCTTACTGGCCCAATATGGCTACTTTTTGTCATAACTAAAAGTTTTAAGTTTGTCATTTAAAATGTCTATAAAACAAATACTTGACATCCCTTGATAAAAACAGTTGTATCATCGAAATGTCTGTGAACCAAACTGCCCTAAATTACCTCAATATTAGTGACTATGTTATTCAATCTGTCTTATTGTCATGTAATGTATAACCAAACGCCTCTTATGATAAATTACATAACATCACATCATAAAAAATGTTGAACCAAACAACCCGGTCTTACCTGTTCATGAACTTGATTTCAGTACCTTACCTTCAACTATATACACCATTAGGCCTTGTCTTGAGGGCATGTTCTTAAAATTAAGTCGAAATTGGGAGAGACATTGACATATTATTTCTTTTCCTTTTAGGATCATTGCTATAGGAAAGGGAATGACCTTTTGGCTGCTGTAAGAATTGTTGGAAGGTGCGTTGATGTTCCATTGCTTTTTTATATTGATTTAGCAACACATGCTTTCATAACTTCTATTTTTTTAATTGTTTCCTTAGTTCAAAGTGTATCTTTGATTTGCTTAAAGTTGAACAAATTTTACACAAATTGTTGGTTTTTTATTATAATAAAGCCCAAGTGGAATATTTATAGTCAAATTGATGGAGAGTTCATTCATTAGGAAAATATTGCAAGCATCCACATTTATTTGAAGATTCTGACAATTTATTGGAAAATTAATTACCTTTCGAAATTATGTTGCTATTTGTATTGCATGCAATTTTAATTTTACAAGAAATGATGTTGTATTGAAACTCTTAGTTTGCTATTGCTAAAATTATTTTTTCGAGTACAACAAGACATTATCATTTTGCGAGAAGTGCACAATGCATAGCAATTGCTAAGCATTGTTAGATGAAAAGAACTAAAAAACAAAATTCAATGATAACACCAAAAGAAGCACAAGGTCAATTAAAATTGTCTAACTTCAAGCTTGTATATTGGAGGATGGCATGTACTTGCTATTTATCTCTTCGAAGTAATTACAATTGAAGTTTCTTTTTCAAAATTTTCTTTGTTTTAAAAGTGTTAATAGTAGGGGTAATAGAAAGAGAGTTTAGATTCTTCTTCTCTCTAGCATTGAGGAGAACAATAGATGCCATAGAAGGGTTATAATATCTAATTGCATGAATAGGTGTGGTGGCTGGGTTAGCTTCTCATGAATTCATTGGTTGAAAGGCAGGATCCAAAGTTGATTTAAGTTTTGAAGCAAGGCATGTCAAAATTATGGAATTTCTACTGTTGCGTTAGAAGATGGAACTTTTTTAGATTTTAGATCCTCAATCCCATTATTGATAGGTTTTTGCAGCTCTTGGTGTGCTCTGAGGCATTTAAAAGGTTGTGGATAAATATTTGGCAAGACAAGGAAATATGGGGAATGCCTTTTAAACTTAAATATTTTCTAGTACTTGGTTGCCATTACTTGTAGAGCCAATCCAAATGTCTTTCTCAAGAAGAGAACTATTCAAACTGTCTGATCCTAGCTACTGTTTGCTTAGAAAGCTAAGCGTTGGCAGCATCCGCTCGAAATGATTTGCCAAAAGTTGATCCAAGTGAGTACCAATTAGATTGATTGAAAAACTGAGTCCATAACTAAAGGAAAATGATCCCAATTGATGTAGGAGGAGGATTCATAGAACAGTCAAACTGAGGTGCCTTCTAAGAATACACAATTAATTTTTTTTTCTAAGAGAGAAGGCTCGTGTTCATATTCTTAGGGTAACTTGATTAGAATATGGGAAGAATCAATAAGTCCAACATTGTAACCCCAACCAAATGCAGATGAACCATGAGTTCGCAAATAATCTACATATTAGGTTGATATTGGGAAAAATAGCTCAACAAAGGGGGGGAGAAAGGCAATATCAACTTGCAGGTTTTCTCATCTAATAAAATGAGTATTGGTTTATCTTAGAATGTGGTAGATAGCTTGTGATTAAGAGTTGAAGTGTTGAAACTGAGTGCAGAACAAGAATTATTGGACAAAGGGCCATGACCATTTACCCCTTAAAAGCCTCAGTAAAATAACATGGAGCAAAAGGCAAAAAGCAAAAGAGGTATCTGGAAGACAATGGTCCTAATTATTGTCAGCCATGAGAAAGGTATCACAATTCAAGCGAACTAAAGGAACAACTGGTGAAATATGGAAGGGATATTGAAGGAAGAATTTGGGCTAGAGGGAGTGAGAATCCATGATTCATAGCATGAGACATATAATTGAAATTTATTAAGGGTGGTGACACTGTTCTAGGCTCCTAGAAGGTGTTTGAGATATGAATTTAGTAGGGGGTCGACGATATTTTGAAGGGGATAGGAGGCATTTGGTGATTGTTTGGTCTGAAATAGTGGAGAGAAGCACAAACAACATGGTATGAACAATGAGAAGGTTATAACACCTATTCCTGAACAAGCTAAAGACACATCACTTATAAAATGAAGATGATAAGATACACCATAAAGCAAAAATTAGAGATTATAATATTCAAATTAAATGAAACAAACCTAAAGTTTGCAAACTAGAAAATAACAACATATAAATTATTCCCTCTCAAAGAAACCCTAATTCTAATTAAAAATAACATAAAAGGTAGGCCCATAAAGGCCTGGTGACGGCAGATTGGTGGGAGAATCCTATTACCTCAATTACGACATAAGAAATCACATCTCCAATTCATTCCATGTAATTGGGATGTCACAATACGCAGAATCAAGGAATCTCGCTGAATTAGGATTGTAAAATCCAGTGCATGATGCTTCAACGCCATTGTTTTCGACTAGGAGAGGCTCATTCTTCTTATTTGTAAATAATCGGATTCCAAATTTTGATGTTCCTTCCCACAAATATCTAAGAAGATTTTCAAACCTACGGTTCAACACTTTTATCTTTCCATCATCTATCTATAGATGTGTTTTTGAATTGAACTAAAACTTAATACCCAACTTACCCTATGTTCTTCTAGAAATATCTAGAAATATCTACAAAATTTCTCATTGCTGTTTGAAGTGATGATATATTGGACATCACTCATTAGTGGTAGCCTAGAAGGTAGATTATAGGCATAAAGTTCCAAAACCCTCTTAGCAGCGACTGCCTTATGTCAGGTATCAATTCTTCCATGTCACGTTTTTCTAGCATCATCAAAGCCAGTCCCTCTTGTCCCTTTTTTATGGATTATAGAATTTTTATAGCGCACTAAAGTTGTTGTCTTTGTTTGAGTAACCATCACTATTAACTCTTTTAACAACAAAAGTAAAATATGTTTCCCTTGATAAATGAGTAAGTGTTTTTGTGCCATCATGAAGTGTACCCCTGTAATGCTGTCACGGTCGCCCTAAAAGAATATGACATGCATCTGTATGCACGATATCACACAAAACCTAATTTTGTCACTCGTCTCTAATTGAAAATTCTATTTGTCTATACTTTTTTTTGTTAATCTTTTTCAATCAAGTTAGAGAATATGATTAAGAATGCTAGCCAATAATGAAGCTCATCTTGCCTATCATTTTTGTAGTTATTACAGTTTCACAGCTATCTTCATCAATAATGAGACTGCATTTGCATCTCTTTCCC